CGGCTGCCCCGCGCGCGCACCCGGAGCGCGTCCCCTCCCGCCGGCCGCGCCTGCGCACTGGGGCCCGCCCGCGCCCCGGCCGCGGTCTTCGGCGGCGACCGCGCTGCGACAGTGGAGCCCCGGGAGCCGCCGACCTGGGTGCAAATAGCCTGTGCCCCAACTCCACGCCCAGCGTTCCCGCCCGCCCGAGGGGCCGTGTGACCTCGAGTGCCCTCGAGGGGCCTGCCTTGCCCTTCCAAGCCTCAGTTTCCCCACCGGGCACAGTGGAACCCACCCCCTTGGCCTCTCCTAGGGAATTAAAAATGCTGAATCTGGCGAAATTCCCCTGGTTTTTTATGGGGGGAGTGTAAATCCTGTGAAATATGTGCCTTATCCCCTTCTCCCCGCCAATAAAACCAGGTCACTCAATTTGAGAGGAGCCTGCGCTGGACTTTGGTCCCAGGCCAGGGCCCTGGGAGGCTGAGAAGGAACACCTGGTGACTCCAGGGGCCAGAAGGAAGGTGGGGGTTTGCAGCGTCTGTCCCTTTCGCACGCACACAGGACCCTTCACGTGGCCAGTCTTCCCTGAGCTCCTGCAAACCCTGTGCACAGGTGCGGGGTGTAGGAGCTGTGCTGGGGGCTGGAGGGATGAAGTCAGAGAAACACGGCCCCCAGGGGTAGGCCCAAGGGGTCCCTTCTAGGTGCTGAACTGAGCCAGCGTAAGGTCCTGGCAGTGCCGTGTCGGGAGAAGAAGGTGTGAGGCCGTAGGTGCAAGGATGGGGCAAGAGATGAAAGAAGAAGGGGCGCTGCTGTTTGCCCTAAAGAGAAGCTGGAAGCCCAAGTGATAACAAGGCGTTTTTTCCAGCAGGACAAAGGGCAGGGAAGGTCCCGCTGGCATGTGGCAGTTACAACGGGTTCCCACCACTTACATTCTTGTGCTTGGGCTTAAGTACATTTTCTCTTTTGGTGCTCAAGGTGGCCCTGTGGGGTCCCTGCCTCTATCCCCCTTTCTAGTGAGGATTCCCGTTGGTAAGCTCCCTCCAGAGGGCCTGGAAAGGAGTCAGGACTGCAGGAGCCCCTGCCCCTCAATTAACCGGGCTGCTTCTCATGCGTGGGTGTGGATGGACCAGGAACTGGGGATCCCATGAAATCTTGGAGACCAGGAGACCAGGCCCCTCCAGGAGGCCCACTTCCAGAAACCTGGGTTTAATTGATCCACCTAGGCAGTGGTCTATTTTAGAAGTACCCCAGGGATTCCGGTGGCTCTCAAGGATTCCAACACTGCCCCAGGTGTTGTTATATGGGCACAAGGATTACAATTTGAGGCATTTCCACTTTCTCTGGAATCAGGATTCAGCTGAACCTCATGACATTGCCATTTTTATAAAACATCCAAAGTGATCACACATTAACTCTTTCATATGCTTCAACCTAATAATTGTAGATGATGGTACCTCATGTCTTTGCCTAGAGTAGGGACACTTTCCCATCGCTTGTCCGCAGCAGCTCACTCCAAAGGCCCTCAGCAAACACTTGATGACCAGCTGGGCCCCTCCTCCTGGAATGGCCTCCCCAGCAGAGCATCTTCCCTGTGAAGCCTTCCTGGTTCCCTCAGGCACAGCTAATTGCTTTCTCCCAGTCCCCAATCTCCCAGGAAAGGTCATACCCACCCGTCCGTAGCCTCATTTGCTATCCATTTGTCTTCCTCCTCCCCTCTTTGAGCTGAAGCCCCTGGAAAGCAGCACTGACACTAGGAAGGTGGCCTGGCCCAATTCATGTTTGTCACTGACTTGGTAAAGCACCGTCTTCCCTCCCCAGGTCCCTTGCTTGTCCCCAAATAGTAGCAAAGTCTGCAAGATTTTTCAAGTATTAAGTGTGAAGTGTAGATCTTCTTGTTAAATGGTGTGGTGTGTTTTTTTATCTTAATGATTTTATGAAAGCAAAGCTGAATAAAGCTAAATAATATCCAAAAATGATCAACCTATGTGAAAATGAAAGAAGTATGATAAAATTGTCTAGGTGCAAAGTTCACAAATAAATAGCAAATTCTTGCACCTATTTTGACTATCGATTCTTCCCTCACTTAAAAAATTTTATTGGCAGGATTGGCATTAATTGCTTTCGAAGCATTTCAAAAGTAAGGATTTATGCTGAGGTTTGCATGGAAAGAGATTTGCTCATGGGTACAATATCCTTTGCACACTGCCACAGATGCTCGTTCTAATAAAGTATCCAGGGCTACATGGTGTGGTGTGGTTTACACACCATTCTCCTATCTGTCATTTCATTGACACCCCATGGCATTTTGGAAGGCAGATTTTCTCACCCTTATTTTGTTGATGAAGAAGCAGAGACCTACAGACTCTCTGAAGTTGGTCCCAAGTCACAGGGAGGATGTGTCAGTCTGGTGGGAGATTGGAGTTTCTCACTCCAACCCACGTTGTTAAACCCTGGGCAGGCAAGAGTCTGTGGTGGTTATTGTCAGTGGCATGGACTTGTACTGTGAATATGTTAATGCTCTCTCCTCATTTGTCAGGTTGGAAAGAGAAGGCCTTCAAATGGAAAGTTTGCACCAGGGATAGCAGGGAAGTTATCTGAGATACAACAAGTATTTGCATCTCATGCTCTCATAGGTTGAATTGTGTGCCCACCTCTCTGATAAATTCATATGCTAAAGTCTAACCCCCACCACCTCAGAATGTGACCTTATCTTAAAATAGGATCATTACAAATATAATTCTTTAAGACGAGGCTATATTGGAGTAGTGGCAGCCTCTCATCCAGTGTGACTGGCGTACTTATACAAGGGGAAATTTGGACACAAACACACACACAGGGAGAGCACCACGTGAAGCCTGGACTGATGCTGCCACGAGCCAAGGAACTGCCAGAAGCTGGGAGAGAGGCCTGGAACAGATACTTCACTGGAGCCATCAGAGAAGCCAGCCCTGCCAAAACCTTGGTCTTGGACTGCCAGCCTCCAGAACTGTGAGGTAATAAATGTCTATTGTTTAAGCCACCAGATTCTTTGTTATGGCAGCCCCAGTAAACTCATACACCTAGCACATAATCTGTCTTGCATAATGCTCCATGTGGCAGTGGGTAAATATTAAACGGCAGCCAAGGGTCCATGAGAATCACGGGGAGAAATTCTGCTCTTCTGGGGAGCACCTGACTCCCCCTTCAGAGGTCAGGCGTGTTGTGTCTGCATGTCTGGGAGAATGGGCATGCGATTACCTCCTTATAGCCACAGGTACAATTTTCTCTCAATAAAAACAAATTCATAGGACAATTCGGACCCACTTGTTCACATAGTGGGGCTCATGGTCGTCTCCCCCTTTGATACCGGAGGCTGGTGTTGTGTTTCATGCTGCACTAATGTTGCTGGGTTTCCCTGTGGTTATTCACCATTTACAAATCTCTCTTGTCTGTCTTTGCATTGGAAGGGCCCTGGCCTTTGGAGAAACTAAACCAACTTCCCAGATTATGGTGGTGGTGCAGGGTGGGCCCAGCCTGGAGTCTCAACCCGTCTGACCCAGGTCTAGCTCACAGCCACAACAGGAGGGAAGGGAGCCATAGTGTCAGGGCTAAAAGAGTGTAGACCCCTGAGTTGGGTTGTTGGGCTAATGTCTCAGTGCCACACCTCCCAGCTGTGTGACTTTGAGCAAGTTACTCAACCTTTCTGCACTTCATCTCTTCTGTGGGTTGGGGATTTAGTGCCTAGCTCCCATGGTTATTGTGGGAAGAGAGGCCCACATGCATACAAAGCCTGCACTTCATACACAAAAAGTAAAGACAATTTTTCCTCTAACAATTCAGTGTTTTGTGTACACAGAAATGAGCGAGTGTCATTCAAATTCTTTGAGCTAAGTGTATCAGTTAAGGCATTCTGGACAGCGACCGTAATAGCCAGGGGAGTCGCCTAGCCCAGCTTCTGTCCTGGGAGAGCGCATTGGTTTCCACTAACCCCAGCCAGACATTTGGCTTCTGGATGAGCGTGTATCCTACTCCACTCCCGCTTCATATTTTGGGACAAAATTTCCCTTGCAAATCTGTGGGAGAGAGCGACCTCTACATTGATTGACTTCGAGCCACTTGTGAAAATGAGGTTGGTCAGGAAAGAGGTTGTTGATTTGTGCCTGTAGGATACTCAGTAAAGTTAATTTTGTCAAAGCATTTTCTAGGTAATCAAATGATCCACATGACAGTCTCAAAATGGTGAAACACCCAAAATCGCTGATGCGATGGAGTCAGGCCTTAGGCTGCAGCCTCCTTCTGGTCCACCCCCTTTGCAGGGGCAGCTCCCAATACCTGGCTCACCTGGCGCAGGACACAGCATGTGTCCCTGCCCTTCTCTGGGTTCCTCATGTCCTTGTTTGCTTGGAGTCTATGGGGAACACAAAGGGGTCTTTAATTCCCTGTGGATGGCGATAAGGAGCCATAGCATGTATCTGTTTAGGACTCCTCTAGTCAAAAAGTGACAGAAATCTCCAACTCGAACTACCTTAATCCAAAACTATGAGAACACATTGGCTCTGGTAGCAGAAGGCCCGGGGATGGCAGAATCCTGTCTACACTCAGCACTGGGTGGCCGAGCTGAGTCAGACCCACAGCCTCTAGAGAAGGCTGCTAGGTGGTGGCTCCTGATGCCTGTCTGTGTTACCCTGCCTGGCCTGGCCGGGCCACATGACCATGGTGGGATCACCCTTTCCTCCACTCCTGGAACCTCCCAGGCAGCTGGACCCCAGGGGGAGGGGCGTAGAGCTGAAGGCAGGAGCTGCAGCTGGACAAAAGGGTTGGATGGATGGAGCGTCAGCAGCCAGCCAGTGTGCACAAAGGCCGTAGGATCTCATCTCACTAATTTGGCAGCTTCAAGCATCACTGTTTCTGCACAGTGTG